ACACGAAGCGCCTGAAAGGCGGCTTCCTTTTCTCCCCGAAATCCTCTTAAAATGATGTATCACAATAGTGGTTTCCACCATTACAAGGCTCACAAGTCTCTCCCGTTCCACTAGGCTCATTGGCCTTAGCCACACACTACTAGGCCCACTAGCCTAGCTCAAAGTCACCCGATCAATCTGAGCCTTCGATATTCTCGTCTACGGGTTACAGTAACGGCTCTTGCAACCGACTAACTTTCAAATTGCCAAACGCTTTAACCGCCTAATCGCCGTGCACGCATGCCAACGCTCACTCGTCCAAACCCGAATCAGGTCGAACGTGGTGTGAACCCTGGTCACATAGGAAGTCGACTGATCAAAGTATTCAAATCCTAACAGTCTCAACATTCGACGTGTCCATTCTAATATCCTCAGTCTCGGTCTGATTATATGAAAGGTGCATTTTCAACGCTTGATTCTCAAAACTTGACTGCAAACGGGCAAACTTTTGCATCAAAATTTTCTAGTCAGATTATTCAATCAGTGGTATGAAATTTCCCTATCAATCTTGAGCCAGAAAGTAACGATCAGTTGTATTGATGGTTTTGCGAACAACAATCAGCAATAACAATTTTAACCTGCAAAATAATGAACAAACTTTGGACCGGATGGCATGTGTCGGATAAAAGGGACATGCGCCAGACTGCTAGAAGGTGAAACACGACGAACGATGCAATATTGTAATTAACGTGGCAAAGTGATTAACCATATTCGGGTAACTAATTGAAAAGGTTCAAAGCACATTGAGATTTGCAACCGGATGATTTACTTGAAATAGGTTCAGACTTCCGGGCCGTAGTCCGTCTGTCTGTCTGTAGTCTGCAAAAGAGTGTACAGCATTATAAATCAATTGTGCATGTACGATCAATTTTCTGCGACATAGAAGAATAAAAGTTTAGCAATCAACGATGACGGTTTTAGTCGGGTGTCATGTGAACTTCCTGTGTGGAATCATAAAAGTTGACATGCGTGTCGAGGTTTTCAAATGCAAAATTTCGGTCAAGCCTTCTCTACCTATGCATGCATGCTTGACGAACTACTTACGCACCTTTGAGGGTACCCAGCATATTATAGTTTCTTCAGAGTACATTTCGTCAACCCCTCAACCGCATTCCCTCCTTCGACAGGGCCCAACGACCTTTTCACGAGCTCCTTTCTGTGCAATACGTATCCTTCCAAGACTTGCAAAATCGCGTGTACAACACTTTTTCTCCAAAAAACCCGCTTGATCTGCCAATAGTAGCTTACAAAGGACGCTTATTTCGTTTTTCATCATGGACCTATCATAGAAATGCACCTGCGCCCTAAGGCTGCCGAATCCAACGCCACTTCGCATTTCCACTTCCTACCGAAGCTCCAGAAGAATGCCAATCGCTGTCAAGCGTGCCTTAAATTTTTCTTTGAGGCCCAATGCACCCACAGAGTACGTGGCAAAGATGGCCCGCAAACGCTTGTTCAATTTCGTATCCCAACGAACTGTGTCTTTGTTTGATGCATCGCTCATCCTTTTTTTCTGCCGCCTTGAGGGAAGCAACAATAGCAACAAAACCTTCTTAGCGGACAGATATATGCG